CACCTGCATGTGCCATGCAAACAGCACTTAAAACTATAATTTGAAAAATTAGACTGCATTCAGGAGAAAGAACTAGTACACATTGGTTTTTCCTTTGTTTGTAGTTAATCTGCAACCTACAGTGCAGTTGCCATCAGACTCAGAACTAAGATTTCAGGTTATGCGGCATTAAAACCTAAGCTGGCTTCATCTACTTTGAATTCAGCTGTACCACTCGAACATAAGGAGAAAGAAATGATTACTCTGACGTCACGAGGCTGAACCTGCACATGAAAGATCACTATGGTAGTTTTAGGAAAGGCCTCTTCAGATCTTGTAAAGTTTTTCATCACTCTGTTCTAAACGTTATTTGATTGATGATTGCAGTTGGTCCAGCGGTTTGTTCTGGAATACCACGAGCAACCAGTCAAGGAGACGGTCAAATTTCATCTGATGCCCGACAGACCAATAAAGATAAAATTTATCGATCGCGAGTAATTTCCAACCAGTGAAGTCGTTAGGCTAAACAGCAGCAGACAAGATTCAAGGGCCTGTGTCACGTGTTAATGGGAATGTATGACTTAAACTGACAGTAGAAAATACACCTCGACTAATCACAGGACAGTAAATGCCTCGGGCCGGCTAGGATAATTTGTGATTTTGTCGAGCGAATTAAAAACAAAAACAGGTTGTCTTTGAAAACCTCATCGTCCCACCTTTGACCCTTTAAAACAAACCGCTTTGCATACCTTCTTCAAACGAAAAATACAAAAGAATGCTGTGAAAACTCTCTTATATGACATATAATTCCTTGCACATTGTTACGATGAATTTTACATTTCCCACAAGGTTGTTGGAAAAGGATTTTCTTTACGGAAGCCAACTTTGAAAATTGGTTTAACGTCAGTCCAAATATCAAATCGCCGTACACGCGCAGAAGAGTACGACAGGCATGAAGATAAAATACCACTTAACCCTGATTTTTCCTAACGTAAAGAAAGGGTGAAGAGGGTGACGGGAAAGGAGTGGCCAGCCCCAACCTGTGGCGACATCACCAGTCAAAACACATATTCCCCGAACGTTCTCTCCTTTGGATAACCGCGCGAAGCCTGAGTAAGGGCTATTCGGTTATGTCACTACTTACGATCGAATTCAGTCTCCTTTCAGCCAAGAATGCCCTGTAGTCGAAGGTTAAGTAATACATTGTGACGAAAGTAGTTTTAATCAATGTATTTAAACCAATGTTTGTATATTGATAGTAAAATAAAGAAGATCAAAGATTAAATGATTAAAATATTAAAAAAAAAAAAAAAATTAAATTTCACGTAGAATTGGAGATAATATAATCGAGCTAATTTATTTTCTTACGATTATTATTCGCAGCTAACGTTCGTCGTAGTATTCTGTAGTGGTTATCATATGCGCAATCCGGTTGGTATTTTCCAGCTTTAATTTATCGCTTTTTCATGATCATCTCACTGAAAACTGGTTACGAAGCTTCATTAAGAAAACTTGCTCTTCTGCAGTTCATACAGATTCGTTATCGATTTAGCCGATGAAAGTGCCGTTTTTTTGTCACTGACTTGTATATTTTAGAACAAGACGTTTCGGCTAACTCTTAAGCCTTCATCAATTGAAAAAACCGCTTAATGTTACTCGCGATTTAAAAAACTTTTTAAAAAATCGTTATCGTTATCGATTTCTTGGCGCACAGATTGATCATAGCAGTTGACTGAACATTACAGAATTAGAATATAAAAATAACAAATGCGAGCCACAAGTTTTCATGATGGAACGCGTCTAGCAATCTTTCCATTAACTTCCGCGAAATTCCGCTTGAAATGGTAGAGAAAACATGACAAATCACGAAAATGCCCAATCTTAGAGTTCAATCCGCGGGGTTAAATCCGCGGTGTTTAATCGACGGTAAATCCGCGGGGCCTGTTTGCATTTGGGCGCCCTTTCTAAAAGAAAAGCACCCAACTAACGTTCTATCCAAAAATTATTATTATTTTTTCTAGCAAAAATAATTCACAAAGCTGATCCCTGTTTGCCATGCAACACATGACCAAATGATTATTTATGTCAAGCAAGTATGCTAAATTAAATAAACTTTTTCTCGAGTTTTCAACATAACATGACTTTCTCTGATTGGTTTTGAAACAAATCACCCGAACTTAAGGTTTGGAAAATAACTGGCCTAAGTCAGGGGAAGATCAAGGTGAGAGAGTGAATCCCCCATAGAGGCCTTATATTTCTTTCGAGGATGATACTCGAGCGATGCGTGGACATTCTCGCAACTACCTGAAACGAAATGGCAGGAAATAGGGTGAAAAGTCTTTTAATCTGAACGTTTTGATTTTCAAAAGACCTTTCATAACACA